AGGAGACACAATGGAAACTACTTGAAATCAAACTCTTCAGATAGGTCAATTTAAAAACCTAACCCCACCCCCCAACCGTTCCTAGGGGCCAAGAGCCCCCCAGTAACCCAGTGTGACGTAGTGGGGGTACTTGCTGGGCTGTGGTGACCCCTGCTGTCTGGAGCAAGACCCAGCAGGGAAAACCTCACTATGCAAAGGTAATGCCAAACTTGTTGAACCAGACACCCCCCATGGAGAGGAACAAAGGAAGGTGGAGGCTGCCCTGGCTGGGGGGCAGGGCTGGAAGAGGGTGAGTTTAGTTGGTGTCTGGGAGCATGGAGGAGACAGCCTAGGGAAAGGGGCTGGATTTTAGGGGTCCAGTCTCCCCCCATCGCAAGGGGGCCTGAGGCATCCTAGTCCAGCTCTGTGACCAGATTACATCTGTGCTGTATCCTGGAGAGGCAATAAACTTCCTCTATTCCACCGGCTGGTGCAGTCTGTTTGTGCCATTTCGGGGTGCAGGAGACGGGGGACCCCCAACGCGCTGTCACACCCTGGGAGACAGAAGGCAATCGGTTGAATATCTGCCCCGATGCATAGCTCCCAGAGCTGAAGGGCTTCCCAACACAGGGGAGAGGAGTGGGCCCTTCCCTGCCTATGGATATAGATGACTGCTGACGTATCGTCAGAGAACATAAGGACCATTGTGCCTGGAGCCAACAGAGAAAGGCTGCACTGGTGAGGCGGACTGCCCGGAGCTCCCTGACACTGATATGCAGGGAGAGGTTATCCCTTGACCACATACCTTGAATCTGCATATCTCCAACGTGCATCCCCCAGCTGGTGTTGGATGCGTCCGTCACTAACCTGAGGATTGGCAGAGGTCTGGAGAACGGGATTCTGGCTCAGACGATCTCCTACTGAGTCTATCAGTCCAGAGAGAACATGACATTGGGAGGAATGGTCACCACTCTGTCCCAAGGGTGCAGGGATGGATTGTGAACTTGTGCAAGCCACATCTGCAGAGGGTGCTTGCAAAGCCTGGTGAGTTGAATGACGAAGATGCATGCAGCCATCAGTCCCAGAAGGCACATGCAAGACCTGGCCATGGTCATCGGAAACTCCCGCATGCCTTGGATGGCCACTTTGATCACCATGAAGCGGGATCTAGGAAGGGAGGCCATGTCCAACTCTGAGTCCAGGTGGGCCCCCACAAACTCTATGACCTGGGTGGAAACTAGGGTCAACTTGGCCATGTTCAGGAGCAGCCCCAGCTTGCAAAAAAGGTCTTCAACTAGAGTGATATGGGCTAGCAGCTAATCCAGCGAAGAGCCCTGAAGGAGCCAGTCAGCCACGTAGGGAAACACCTGGACACCCCCCTCTCAGTGCAGTGGCCACAATGGCCATACACATCATGAACACTTGAGGGGCCACAGAAAGGCCAAAAGGAAGGGCTATAAACGGATAGTGGTCCTGGCCCACCATAAAGTGAAGGAATCGCCCGTGGTGCAGTGCAATGGAAATATGGAAATAGGCATATTTTAGATCGAGGGCAGTGTACCAGACTCTGATGTAGGGAGGGAATGATAGACGCCAGAGTAGCCATCTGAATTTGGCTGTGATGATAAAGGAATAGTTCTTTTATGAGTTCCCTGAATTCTAGGATAGGCCAAAACCCTCCCTTGGCCTTGGGAGACCAGGAAGTATCAGGAGTAGAAACCCTTGTCCTGGAAATGCTGGTCAACTGCTTCGGGTGCCCCCAGGGATAAGAGCTGCTAGACCTCCTCCAGAAGGAGATGCTCATGAGAGGGGTCACTGAAAATGGATGGGGCAAGAGGGGTCAAAGGAATGGGGTGGTATAACTACCCTCTACCATTTCCAAGACCCAACAGTTCAAAGTAATGGATTCCCAGGCCAGGCAGAAAGGGAATAAGCGAACCCTGAACGGAAAAGGTGTGGCTGATAAGATGTCCTCGAGCATACCTTCAAAACTCTCGACGAGGACGTAGGGGCTTGCTGGATGGGTCCTGGCCATGGTCCAGGGCTGGGCGAGACTATCATCTGCTGTTCCCCTCATTGCCATTTCTCCCTATGCAGCAGGAGAAATGGGGGCAGGGGCAAA